ACAAAAAAGACAGACACATAATGAAAAAAGCAGAAACTTGGAATCGCGAACAAGCTGAAGAAATCGATCTTAATCGAAAATGACGCGTTTTTATGCGAGGACGTCGTATGATGAGCGGCGTTTGCGCCGCCGTAGGATCCTTTTCCGCCCTGTGACTTTTTTGTCGGTGTAATAATCTCCGACGCCGTCAGCTTTCTCCGGCCATAAGAACCCATTGGCAAGTTCAAATTCTCTCCGGTTAGGGTTCCTGCAGAAACATAGAAAATTTCGTTGTTTGAGAAGCTTGGTTTTGAAGAAACTGATGACGATATATATATATGATCGGTTTCTGACCGGGATGTATTGCGAGCTCGTTCGGGGGAGTGGAGAGTGGTTTGTCGCTGTTTATCTCGGAATTTTCGTGTCCGAAACTAATTGAAAGGAGATTGAGGAGACACAGAAGGACCGTGAGCCAAGCAAACAAATTCACTTTCATTTTTTTTTTTGGGGGTAGTGCGAGAATGAAAGTCTCAAGGGTGTTAAATAGATGCGGGTTTTTGCAACTTGTATGGAACGTGTTGAGCTTAGGCGGCGGACTCTCACGCTTCGGATGCTGACATGACAAAAATCTATGCTTCGTGATGTTGGTTTTATATTATTTTTGCTCTGGAGTTAGATTTGGTATTAGACATAAATAACTTTACACATATATTCATTAACTCAATACTCATGTTGTATATAGTTATCAGTACTAGTTTTTTTTAAAAGAGAAATGCTACAGTCTGGTTATGGACCGTTAGGACTTGTAATCGTTAGATTATCATATAACCGTCGAGGATAGTAGATCTAACAGTTACATACCTCGACGGAGTGGTTCCATAACAAGACCGCAACATCTCCCATTTTTAAAATCATATTTTATTTCGTTTGATGATGGAAGAGGGAAGAGTAATTCAACAGGGAAAAAGCAGAAGAAATGCTTTCTTCACCATTCAACAAGGAGTAGAGGATGTCCCACGGGAGCGACAAAAGGCAAAATACCGGGGCTACAAATTCTAGCGCAAAAGCAAAACTTCATTGTGTCGTGATGTAAAACGAAATCTTTTATTATTATTATTATTATTATTATTATTATTATTATTATTATTAATGTTGTTGAACCTCCATCACTACTGATAGATAACGATGTTAGAATAATGATACGGAAAAATATTAAAAATAATTTTATAAAATAAATATCGTGTTAATATTAAAAATATTTTTTTAAATTATTTTTTGGACAACGTGAATAGGATTTACTCAATTTTTTTTTTTGTTTGTCTTAAGTAGTTAAGTCACAACAATTGGAAAATTTTTAATTAAACATAAAATCATTTTGGGGGGAATTGATAAATTTTATTTTTGTTGGAAAGTTAACTTAACTAGTTTTTAACCCGT